TTGATATACATTACTATCACCATCGCCGATGACTGTTTTATATATCAATCCATGCATTTCAAGGCTACTTTTAAAACCTTCAGCAATAGCGTCGCTCTCCATGCTTGTGGAACTTGCGTTCCGATCAAAATTTTTGTAGCATTTATGAGCTTTTGGTTCACAATTTTGTTGATCCGCTATATCGCATACTGTGCAATATTTGTTGCGGATACCAACGAAGAGAATTTTCCTTGTATTGTAACCAATTATGGCACCAACACCGGAAATTGAATCGTAGGCTGTGCCATACGATCTCTTCATCCAACTGCCATCCGCGACAACTGTTATGTACGGAATACCCTTTATTGTTTCATTTCTTTTTACAGCGAGTTGTTTTTCAACTTCGCCTGCCATTTTCATATTTTCAATGGCTGTCTTTTCAAAAGCATCGATTAATAAATCTCGATGTTTAATATATGTTTTTTCAGACATACACGGTATGTTCGCAGCTGCAAACATTTCTTCCAATTGAGCAAAACCAATGCCAATCGTGATCGTTCCAGCTGTGACAGCCGTGTTTATGTCCAACGTTTTGCAGTCTGTGGGATGTGACCAAAAGTTTGCTTCATAATTGCACATTTGGCATTTATAAAAGAACTGTGTCATAAATCCACGACGCAAAGAATTTACGAGTATCCAATCTTTAAATCGGCACTCTATTCTTCGCGCATGATTATCAAATGTCCTATGCATTTCTTTCGAAAAGAAAGAATAGTTTACAATACGATTACCTTCAATCTTATGCTCTTGGATACGATTTATATCCAGAGGGTTTTCGTTGTCAATGACAAGAGTATTGTCATTTTCGCAATATAGGACATTTTCATACGTACTTACGCTTCGTGGCGTTGCATCCAGGCACGTTTTTTGGGTACAGAACTCTGAATCCATCATACTCGGAGTAACCAGTGATTGCACTGATTTCCGGAAATGGATTGATTCGTTCGTACTCTTAGTGCCACATATTTCTTCGCCCAGCCTCTTTAATAACTGCCGCCTGCAAAAAATCATAAACATATCAATGCACAATAAAAAAACGGGAATGTATCTTGTAAGATATTCGTATTATTGAAGGTATAATGTTATGCATAGTTTTTATAAATGTTATTGTGTACGTAATAATCGTAAAATATATAAAAACCTCTGAAAAATTAAAACAGTCCTTTATTTCTTCATTATTATACATTGTCGTGTTATTATTTTTTTGTATATGTAAAAAAAATGCCCTTAGAATTTGTAATAACCAACACTGCCAGAGTAGACGCTTCTCTTTTTGATTGTAATCCGTACCGTCGGTATAGACGTTTTGATATTAATTTCATCAGAAAAGACGCCTCTGATTTTTATAGCAATCAGTACCGTCAGAAAATAGACGCTTTTGGCATTTACTTCACCAGTACCGTCAGAGAAGACGCTTCTGATTTTTATAACAATCAGTACCGTCAGAGAAGACGCTTCTGATTTTTTTAACACTCAGTACCGTCAGAGAAGACGCTTCTGATTTTTTTAACACTCAGTACCGTCAGAGAAGACGCTTCTGATTTTTTTAACACTCAGTACCATCAGAAAAGACGCTTCTGATTTTTGTAGCAATCAGTACCGTCAGAAAATAGATGCTTTTGGCATTTACTTCACCAGTACCGTCAGAGAAGACGCTTTTGATTTTTTTACAATCAGTACCGTCAGAGAAGACGCTTCTAATTTTTATAACAATCAGTACCGTCGAAATATACGTCTCTGGCACATAATATTATTACAATTATTACACCTAACTACAAAGGACTGTACTAATTTTCCAGAGGTTATACGTTTTCAGAATCACAAAAGACAATATCTCGAATTTTTATATTTTATTGACGCTGTGTAATATTCAAAAGGAAAACCATAAACAACATTTATTAAATTTTGGCAAGTTAATTTTGCTTCAAAAAATGTCTCCACAAAATCAGAACTTTATTTGAAACATTTTATGTGTTTTTATGTGTTGTGTTCTTTCAAGGATAACAGCTTATAATACTATGACTCACCTATATATATACATATATACACACACAATATATATATATATATATATATATATATATGTATATATAATGTTCCGTAGTAAGTGTCCGGGCAAATCTCGTAACTCCTTGCAATCACATTAGTTTATAACAAAATCCAAGTAAAATCTCCCTTTTTATTTATGACCTTTCCGAAGTTCACCTAAACACTTTTGTCAATGTATATCTGTGTTTTTTTATGACATATTTGTGTAGCAGGAAGTAAATTGAAGTTGTACGGATTACATAATCGCAAATATATGCGTCTTTTACAAAATTATTGCTATCTAGATACTAGAGTAGTAAATTGGATTATGAGCATTTTGGAATGAATTTGAATATTAAAGGTTAAAAAATTAATAAACTTTGTTTTACTAAATATTATCTTTATTTATAAGATGCTCGAACTGTGAACCATTGTGTCAGCACTTGACGCGTTTTCTAATACTTTTTATCGTTGACTACAACATTTCTATTGTAATACTTTCTACAACCTGCGATTTTTTTCTTGTTTATGCAAGGACTTGCAATGTAAAATTACTACGGCTGTAGAAAGTATTACAATAGAAGTGTTGCAATCAATGATGAAAGATATTAAAAAACGTATCCAATGCTATATCGAACACAGTGGTCAACAGTTCGAGCATAAAGAGCAAATGTTTAGTAAAACAATGTTTATATTACTTTTCTACTAGTATTTTTTGCAAACTAATAACCATGCAAATTTCCCAGCTTATTGATATTTTCTGTGACCGCAAGGAATTACGACATATTTGCCTGGACACTTATAACGGAACACCTGTATATGTATGTTCTTACACGTCAAAATGTGATAAAGATTATCTATCTGTCTGTCTGTCTGTACATTTATTTGTCACTTATTGTTAGAAACTAAATGTCTTATGTGAAACATACAAACCTTTGCACCCATCCTTTTCTTAGCGAAAATCTGTGGGCAGATAGAGTCTTCCTTCCATTGTGTACACCCATGACACAAGTAAATTATTAATTTAAAAATTAATATTTTATACGACAATGAGTCAGGATAGCACGTTCTTTCAAGTTCTCTAGCAGAGACTCTCCAATCTGTATTCCAATTGTTTTCGCGTCGCGACACTATCCTTTTCACTCTGTTGCCGTTACGAGATATTCATTTGTTGTCGACGCGGATCTCGCTTCGTTTTCGTTTCCTGTCGCAGCTCGCAGTCGCAGCGCAGTACGCAACGATGCCGCGCCGAACGGAACGAAAAAGTAAGTAACAGTAATACCTCTTTATTCGACTAATAATAAGTATATATGTAATATTTTATATTTTATTTCATTTATTTACAGTAAGAAGCGAAGGGTCAGCGACGTCAACGCGAGTGCAAGATGCGGGCACGGCAATGACGCCGCCGCCTCCACCGTCAGCAGCAGGACAGCGTACGCGTACGGCGACGACGTCATCGTCATCGTCGTCGCTGTACGTGCGAGTGCAAGATGCGGGCACGGCGATGACGCCGCCGCCTCCACCGCCAGCAACAGGACAGCGTACCCGTACGGCGACGGCGTCATCGTCGTCGCCGTACGTGCGAGTGCAAGATGCGGGCGCGGCGATGACGCCGCCGCCTCCACCGCCAGCAAAAGGACAGCGTACCCGTACGGCGACGGCGTCATCGTCGTCGCCGTACGTGCGAGTGCAAGATGCGGGCGCGGCGATGACGCCGCCGCCTCCACCGCCAGCAGTAGGACAGTGTGCGTGTACGGCGACGACACAATCGCCGCCGCCGCCAGCAGCAGTAGGACAGCGCTATGTATTCAGGGCACGGGGGGCAGCAAGAGGAGGTGGACCACGAAAAGTAAGTCTTTTTTATTCATTCGTTCCCTCCCTTAGAGTACTGCCTCATGGAGCGGATTACGCGGAAGCGGGACCAGTGGATCCCTAATCACGAGATCGTTCTGACAGAGCCCGATTACGTGGAAACGATACCGTGATTGGTGATTCGCTAGTTCCGCTTCCGTGTAATCCGTTCTATGAGACGCAACCCTTATTCACTCGCATGCATGTACGCATACACGTACGTACGTACGTGTGTGTGTGTGTGTGTGTGTGTGTGTGTAGGGTTATACATATATATAAAATACACAATTATAATATAATTTTTTCTTTCAGTTCCAGAGACACGCAATGCGCCTGGCGAGACAGAAGGTGCGGAAGGAGGAACGATATACGGCGCAGTTCGCACCGCACGCACCGCACGCGGTATACGCGCCGCATACATACGGATCCGCTCCGCCCGTCCCGCATGCATGCGGGTATGCTCTATACGTACCGGCCGCACCGTACGCACCGCATGCATACGGGTCTGCTCCACCCGCCCCGCATGTACCGGCTGCATCGTACGCACCGCTTGCATACGGATCCCCGCTTGTATACGGGTCCGTTTCACCCGCCCCGCATGCATACCCGTCCGCTCCGCACTTACCGGCCGCACCGTACGCACCGCCTGTATACGGGTCTGTTCCACCCGCCCCGCACGCATACGGGTTCGCATCGTATGCGGCGCCGCAGCATTAAAAAATTTTTTTTAAAAATATATATAGAATAAAGTGTAAAAAATATATATATATACATATATGTAAAATGTAAAATATATATATATAATGGAAAATGTATTAAAAAATATATATGTAAAATGTATTAAAAAAATTAAAAAATATATATACATAATATATTTAGTTGTTACTTGAGGTATGGTTTGAGTGAGTGAGTGACTGAGAGAGAGAGAGAGAGAGAGAGAGAGAAAGAAAGAATGAGCGCGAAATAGAAAGAGAGTAAATAAAATAGAGAAAGCGAACAAGGGTAGAGAGAGAAAAGGCCTGTTCATGTTGCTTGCACTTTTCGCATCAATTAGGACGAAAGGGACACATACCTATTCTGTAGTGCTACAAGAGGCAAGAGGGAGGGGATCTAGTCCGAAAACTGCAAGCAACACACAGGCCTAAAGTTATGTATGTGTGCGAATATGTATATTACATGAAAAAGAAAGAGAGAGCAATAATACGATACATCTTTCCTTGTCTACCAGATTGCAGCGCCATCTGGTCATCATGCAGTGCTCTACTTATCATTCTACAGCTGTATTTGTATTTATAAATTTTTCTCTAACCCTATCTTTTTTTTCTAGACTTTCAATCTTAGTTCCAAGTACACAATATTGTTCTTGAATGTTGTCTCTAGGTTTCTCCGGTCTCATTTTGCAGATATAAACTACAGAATTTTTGTATAAGCAAATATTATCGTCATGTGACAGCTCTACATGCCAAAATATTGAATTTTTTTTCGTTTTTTATATAAAGTCGAGTAGACAGCCCTTTATTTTTGTGCGAACTTTAATCGTGTACAAGAAATTTGCAATTCTGTAAAGCCAATTAAAAGATATCCCTAATTAAAAAATGTCGGTAAAACAGAGAGACTCCAGCATCACCTTAACTGTAATGTTAAAGTTACAATTTTATTAACGTTTTTTGTTATAAAAAATATTTTATCTGGTAATGGTACGGGGCTAATTGGGTCAAGCGTTCCAACTAATCTCGCTTATAAAGTGAAAGATCTTTGAAATAAAATGGTGCTTTATTTGTAGAGTCCGACCGAAATTTCGGTTTCGGTTTCGGTTTCGGCCATTTTCGGCCTAAAATCAAGATTTCGGCTTGATTTCGGTTTCGGCCGAAATAGAGAGAAAATTTCGGTGACGTAAGCCGAAACCAGAAACTAGAAGTCGCAACCACGGTCTTGCATACAGGTCCTTCAACTCAGCCAAATTTTGGTGGTGGGGGTAGGTCGAATTTTTAAGCCAAAAACCGTTCGTCTCTTGGCCACGAGGGTCGCTACGATACATTGGTATGTGGGCTCTGCCGTGACCCGAGTAATTTTATTTCTCGTCGCCCTCGCGAGAGGCGTGGAGGAGCTAAAGAAACGAACGAGGGGATAGCAACAAGCAGCACTCGACACCGACACGCCATTGTAACCACACTGTCATACGTTACAAATATATTCGAAGATTTTAATCGGATACAGTCGTTGACTACCTCCTCCCGAGTCATCCTTACCTCCAGTGGATAAAGAAGACGTGGAGCTTATACCTGGAGGATATTGCTATCTCCACAACTGGTGACCCCGACGTGATGCCGGGAGGGACTTCCCCGAGTGGGTCAACGAATTAGTTTGGCGTCCACTACCTGCCGTATGCAGCGTAGACGGTGATAAAAATTACCACGCTCAACGGGTTAGAGAAAATCTTGGCTTTCCCCCGCGTGTGAGGTGGTTACACCATCTGGCCCTTTGGATTACATCATCCGGCCCTTCCGATTGCGTCATCCGACATTGTGGTACGTGCCCTTCGCCGTCGATGATCCACGAGGCAACTACATTCCCGAGGACTTCGCGGCCGAGATTCCCACCCAGCCCAGCGGCAAACGGGAAGCCACAGACGGAACGTGCGCGGACGTGCTATCGCCGTCCACACCATTGAGAAGCCCAGGTTCCTGAGATCTTCACTCTTCGCAGAGATTCCGGACCCGCGATAGTGGCGGACGAGGACGGTACAACGCCCATGCTCTGGATTCAGGACCAAGACCATCCAACCGAGGCGCGCAGCGACACTTCCGGACCACTCACCGCCACGGTCTTTATATTTTTCATAGCTCTAGTAATAGCCGCGGGTCGGTTCGCGATCATTATGCCCACAGACGAGGCGGCTGGCGGACATATCGACTCGTATCGGATTCCAAAAATTCCGCCATTTTGGCGTGAAAACCCCGAACTATGGTTCGCTCAAATAGAATCAACCTTTAAGGTTGCGAGGATTACAACCGATCAAACCAAGGCGCACTGTCTAATCGCGAGCATTGATAACGAAGTGCTACCGCACATTAAGGACATATTAAATAAGGATCCTCAGCCGCCCGAATTATACCTCGCGTTAAAAGAACGTATTCTGTCCACTTTTACAACTTCTGCCGAGACGTGCCTACGGCGTTTGCTAAAGGGTCTGGTTTTGGGCGACCAGCGTCCTTCGCATCTTTTAACCAAAATGCGAGAATTAAATAACGGACAAGTCAATGACGCCGTTCTGCGATCGTTATTCATTGAACGAATGCCCGAATCATACAAGCCGGTATTAATCACTGTAACGGAACCGGACTTGCAAAAACTCGCCGAAATCGCGGACAAACTCGCAGATTCATTCGCGGTCGGTAATAACCCTGACGCGTCGCTGAACGCCGTAGCCCGTATCGAACACGACCCGGTGGCAAGCCTCACGTCAAAATTCGCCGAGGTAATGAAACGTCTCGAAAAACTAGAAACGTCCGCAAAACGGCTGAACCGCGAGCGTTCTAAATCTCGAAAGCGTGAGCACCCCGCGATCGAGGGTGCCGATAAAGCGGACAAGCAGCCCAAGCTGTGCTATCTCCATTATAAATACGGCGACAAGGCCAAGTCATGTAAGAAGCCGTGCTCTTGGTCCGATACCCAGTCGGGAAACTAAATACCCCTCCCCTAGTGGGGACTGTGGGTGAGGGGGCGTTAAGTACTAACCGTCTCCACGTTTATGACCGTAGGTCTGGCCAGTATTTTCTCGTTGATACGGGGGCCGAATACTCCGTGCTTTCTGCACCGCTTTCACAAAGACAAAACCCATCTGAGTTTAAGTTATTTGCAGCTAATAACACACGGATAGATACATACGGAGAACGGCGGCTTACATTAGACTTGGGCTTACGTCGCGACATAACTTGGAATTTTTGCGTCGCCGCAGTACCTTATTCGATAATAGGAGCGGATTTACTTAAGTATTATAATTTAGATGTTAGTATAAGTAAGCGACGCATCACCGATAGCATTACGCAACGCCACATAGTAGGCAGCATCAGCTCAGTGCCGAGAGTTTCCGTTTCACCAATAGATCACTCTAACGAGTTTGCTAAAATTCTTGCGAATTTCCTAGAAATAACCGGGCCAATGCAACGGGTTCCACAGGAATCCTATGACGTTGAGCACCAGATATTAACGACAGGTCCGCCAATCGCGGAACAACCTAGACGTTTAGCACCGGATAAATTGAAAGCCGCGAAAGACGAAATAAAGAAGTTAATGGACTTAGGGATCTGTAGACCCTCGAGTAGCCCGTGGGCCAGCCCTATCCATTTAGTTAAAAAGAAAACCGGGGAATGGAGATTGTGTGGCGATTATCGTAGGTTAAATTCCGTAACAATTCCGGACAAATACCCCGTGCCACATCTTCACGATTTTTCCGCCAACCTGTACGGAAAAAACATCTTCTCGTCGCTAGATCTCAATAAGGCCTACTATCAAATCCCAGTGGCCAAAGAGGACGTGCAAAAAACGGCGGTTACTACCCCGTTCGGCCTTTTCGAATTTGTCAAAATGACATTCGGTCTCAGGAACGCCGCCCAATCATTTCAGCGTTATATTCATCGCGCACTCAATGATTTGGATTTCGTCTTCGTATACATTGATGATATTCTTATTGCATCTTCCACAGTCGAAGAGCATAAGAAACATCTGGGTATAGTGTTCCAAAAGCTTAAGGATTTCGGTTTATTCGTCAATCCGTCTAAATGCATTCTTGGCGTTATGGAGATAAATTTCCTCGGACATCGCATTAACAGCAGTGGTATTGCACCGTTGAAAGAAAAGGTCGAAGCAATAGAAAATTTCCCCAAACCAAATACCGTCGCTGAACTACGACGCTTCTTAGGCGCGATCAACTTTTATCGCCGCAGTTTACCTCACGCCGCTAGCGTTCAATCGCCTCTGCACCTATATTTAACCGATTCTCGTAAGAACGATAAAAGAGTAATTGCATGGACACCGGAAGCCGAAGACGCGTTTGTCAAAGCCAAAACTGGCCTAGCCAACGCTGCTCTTTTGGCACACCCCTCTGCTAGTGCAGAAACACGGGTAGTTACCGATGCGTCCGACTTCGCGATGGGAGCCGTTTTGGAACAACGTGTTTCAGGCAGCTGGAAGCCATTGGCATTCTTTTCGCGTAAGTTTACCGCTGCTCAACGTAATTATAGTACGTACGACCGCGAATTAACCGCGATGTATGAGTCGATTAAATATTTCCGTCACTTTTTGGAAGGCCGGACTTTTAAAGTATTAACCGACCATAAGCCATTGATGTACGCTTTTCAGCAGCGTTCGGACAAAGCCTCGCCGAGGCAAATCCGACAACTGTCTTTTATAGCGCAATTTACTACCAGCATAGATTTCGTGTCGGGTACAGACAACGTAGTCGCGGATAGCCTATCGCGTATCGAGGCTTTGGCACTACCTACGGAATTCAACTTAGTAGAATTGGCGGAACTGCAGAAAACGGATGAGGAACTCAAACATCTATTAAAATCGGAAAAATCCACTCTGAAACTTAAAAAGTTCGTTTGGGAGTCTCCGCAAACAGAATTATATTGTGAACTGTCAGGGGAATCAATTCGTCCCTATATTCCACCCGCTTTGCGGAAACGCGTTTTTGATTTTCTCCACAATCTAGCGCACCCAGGTTCAAAAGTCACCGATCGACTAATTAG